CACGCCCCCCCCCCCCCCCCCCGGCGCTTCTAGTGGTCCGCTCTGCTGCCGCTCTACTCACCGTCTATACAGCTGTACTCCGTTAGAGTAGTCGCCATGGCAAGGGGAGGGTCTCTGATACTCCAGTTAGGTTTCCATTTTAATCAGACACGGCTTCTTAGAAGCCTCCACTGATGTTCCCACCCCTTCTCCACATTTACTGCTAACTCTAGACTCCCTTTCTTGCTCTCTCTCTCAGGGAAAAAACACTTTTTCCCTTTTCCTGGTCCCAGCAGCAGTGAGACTCTGAATTACCACAGGAAATGTTTTCACTTGTCTTTGCAAACAGTGTAAGCACTCTTCCTAGACACATAGGATAAGATAGGACAGATTGGACGTATGGATTTTTTTCTTTCTTTCTTTTTTCTTTTTGTTTTTTTGAGACCGAGTTTCTCTTTAGCTTTGGAGTCTGTCCTGGAACTAGCTCTTGTAGACCAGGCTGGCCCTGAACTCACAAAGATCCACTTGCCTCTGCCTCCCGAGTGCTGGGATTAAAGGCGTGCGCCACCACCGCCCAGCTGGGACAGATGAATTGTTGGCAGAGGATGGTGGTTACTCTTCTTCTCCTCCAGCCAAGGAACTTTGTATGCCTAATGAGGAAAACCTTCCTCATGATTTCCTGTAAGTTTCCTTGTGAAGTCCTACCAGGATTCTAACAGCAAAACTGCAAGGGGTAAACACCAGCCAGCTCACTCTCTCACTAGCCACACTCAACCTGGAGTCATAATTATAAGATTTGAGGTGAGGAGCTGGAGAGGTGGCCCAGTGGTTAAGAGCACTCAGTGACTATGTTTCCAGAGAGACGGGGTTCAGTTCCCAGCACCCACCGTTATCTGTAACTCTAGTTCCAGGGGATTGGATTCCCTCTTGGGCAAAATACCCACACACATAAAAATAAATAAGTAAATTATTAAAAGTAAGTACATTTCCGGCAATGGTTGTTACTGGTTTAGATGGCATCTGAAGGAGGCCACCCAGTTTCCCAAGTATGAACCAGTGCCTTCCCAGATTTGGTTAAATTCTTTTACTCTGTGATCTCAGTTCTTTTAAGGGCACAAGAAGTTCCATTAGCTTGCATTTTGTCCAACACCTTTTCTTTTCAATAAGGGCATGAGCAACTCTTTCTAGCTCTTTACATCTTTAAGATAAAGCCAGAATTAATCTCCATACTTTTCCAAATATACTTTTTCTAAAACCTGACCAGGCGTTATATGCCCTTAAATCCCAGCAGAAGTAAGTGGACCTCTGTGAGTTCAAACCTGGTCTCCATAGTGAGGTTAGCCAATGAGACCATTCAAAAAAAATTAATTGACAAAAGTATATTCTGACATGAGTTCTCTGGATATAAGTTCAATACATACAACAAGATGTTTTCATGCACACAATAAAAATGTTAAATGTCTTTAAAATAAATAAAAGTATCAGCTCACCAACCAGTATTAGTCAGAGAACAAAAAAGCAAGTCAGAAGCCAGAAGATCTTTTAAAAAGTTTTATTTTTATTTTATGTGTAGAGCTGTCCTGCAAACCCTTATAGGAAGATAGAAAACTTCCTTATAGGAAGATAAAAAAGACTGGAGCAAGTGATATCTAAATCTTCAAAAATCTCAAAAGTGATATCTAAAAGTTCAGTTACCACAAAAAAAAAGCACACTCAACTTCCTTAGTCATCAGGGAAATGCAAATTAAACCACAGTGTAAGTAACTTACCCACTCAGTAGAGCCAAAATTGGCAATTCTGTTGATTCTGAATATTGGCCAAGTATTTGGAAAGGTAAAATAGTCTCAAACACACTGGTCTGAGAGAAAAAAAATTGCTATGTCCACTAAGGTTGAATGCATGCACAGTAAGCATATGGGTAATGAACGATTCCACAGTTTAGTGACTGGAGCGATATGCACACCTATGTCTCTGCTGTTTCTTTGTGTCAACGCTGTGGAAGGGCTCTACTGTATGATTCGGGGCTAAGGGTCTCTTGTGAATTTTCAGTAGATAGCAGCTCTTCTGCAGACTCGACTGCAGTTGGAGACTTTGCTTTCACAATGACTCAGTCACATGACTATCCACAGAAGGCCTTAGCTTCTCACCACATAGATCTCTGTATAGATCACCTCAAATGTTCTCCTGAAATGACAACTGGGTTCTCACAGCTACAATGCCTACTTGCTCTACTTTGACACAACACACCCCAACTTCTCCTATTCTCTTCATTAGAAGGGAGTGACTGTGGCTCACATGTGAGAGTATGAACTTATCCTCTTTCTTCTGAAGGGAGGAGGACTGTGGAATCTATGAACCCATCCTATAAATTGCGACACACACCCGATAACCCATTTTTTTTTAACTTTTAGCTTCAGAAACAAAAATAGTTAGGCGCATATCTAGAAAGACGTACAAAGTATTATGCCATCATTCACAATAGCCTAATAGTAGAAACAACACCAATGTCTGTCAATAATAGCTTCGCTAAAATTTTTTGTGTATTCTAATATAATGGTTTACTATTCAGAAATAAAAATAAACTATAAATAAATCTTAAACATAGATGGAGCTCATGAATAGATAATTAAGCAAAAGAGACACACCCGGAATTTGAACTAGATTATTTTATATAAACATTTATATAAAAGGTGACAAAATTAATTTATAATGTAAGAAGCCATGATGGCTGAAATTTGAAGGCAAATGGATGTATCTAGAAAACATCATACTGAGTGAGATAACCCAGAAAGGCAATTACATGTACTCACTCATAGGTAGGTTTTAGACATAAAGCAAAGAAAACCAACTGACAATTCACAATCCCAGAGAACCTAGACATCAATGAGGACCCTAAGAGAGACATACATGGATCTAATCTACATGAGAAGTAGAAAAAGACTAGATCTCCTGAGTTAATTGGGAGCATGGGGACCATGGGAGAGGGAAGAAGGGAAGGGGAGAGGAAGGGAGGGGAGCAGAGAAAAATGTAGAGCTCAATAAAATTAAAAGAAAAAAAAAAAAAAGCTAGTTCCAGGACAGACTCCAAAGCTACAGAGAAACCCTGTCTCAAAAAAGAAAAAATTAAAAAAAGTTAATTAAAAAAAATGACATTTACCTTCAGAATAGGAAGGAGGGACTGGTTTTTGCATTATGGCAGTTCAGTGAACCAACCAGACATCTCTGAATCTGAGTTGTGATGAATTACACAAGTACTCGGTAGAAACGTCCCGAGAGTCACTTCCGTTGGCTTATATGAGGAGTACGTCATGTTGTCCTGGTAGAGGAGCAAGAAAGGGGAAAAGTTACATTTCATAAGTCTTGGTCTTAGGGGTAGAAATTCTCCCCTTCTGTCAGCATAGAAGCTGGCACCATGGTTTCTAGTGAGAGCTGCTAGGAAATGTGTGTTGGGAAGTGTTCCAACTAGGGACTGCCCTGGGGAATGCCCTATCTGGATGTGTAGTGGGACATTCTCTCATTCAACTCATCCTTCATTAGATTCTCAACTCTGCACGTTGGAACGCTTGCCTGGGCCTTCCCGTAGACTGAATGAATCATACGTTCTGAAGCTGACTGGTGAGTATAGCTATTCTGACTCTCCTCACACTTTACAGAAAATATGCACACAGGGGCTGCTTCTCATTAAAATGGCTTGAGAGCAAAGGGTCCTGCTAGAGAAGCAAAAAGCACCAGGGTGGTGGTGATGGTGGTGTGGACATTCCCCTCATTTCCCTCGATCCCTTGTTCCAGGGCTGAGCTCACAGGCACTGGAAAGGGAACCATTAGATTATTCATAGCTGGTTGCAGTGAGTGGCAGCAAGACTGAATAGGGGGAATTCATGTTCACATCTTCTGTTTTGGTCCAGAAGAGGATAGAGAAACAGGCTGGGAACAGAAACACTTGAGTGGCGTATTTGCTTCTCTGCTATCTCTGTAGTCTCTGCTCGCTCTCTCTCTCTCTCTCTCTCTCTCTCTCTCTCTCTCTCTCTCTCTCTCTCTGCTGTTGTAACTGAGAACTCCATACTGTAACTCAGACGCAGTGCTGTGCAGGCTTACATTACTGCAATTGAGATAAATCAACCATTTAAAAAGGAAATGTTTATTTTGACTTAGGGGTTTGGAGATTCCAGTCCATGGTTGGTTGCTGCATCATTTGGGGCTTTTGATGGCACAGCGCATCATGGAAAGAGCACATGGTGGCATAAATAGCCGTCCTTGTGGCAGAAAAGCGAAAGGGAAAACACAGCTGGGGTCTTCCTAGCTATCTCTTTAGGCATGGCTACTCATTTAGGATGGCGTTATCTGCTTCCTGTGCCTTTCTTTGGCAGACATTCCACGTTCCTGACATTTCTGACTTCCCGGGGCCTCCATTGCAGCAAGGTTTCGCTGTCAAAGCTTTGTGCATTACCCTTTCAAGGTTTTCTTGCAGGGACACTGACCTTACTACACAGTGCTTGGCTTCCCACACTTCCCTTTCCAGTCTAAGTGGAAACCATGAGGTCACCACCACTCTTGCTTTGTGCGTTCTCATAAAACCAGCATCACATGGGTGACGCCAGCTCAAGCAATAGCCGCATCCTCTTAGATCATGGGTGTAGTGACCTGTGAGTATCTGAATGGCTGGACGAGAGAAAAGAATCATGGGACAACAACATCCTAAGCATTTCTGAACCATCAGAGCACCCCAGAGGCACTAGCCTCTAAAGGAAATTTACACGTTTTCCCTTGAGCCTGGGATAAAAGGTGTTTTGCTGATTCTCAACGCATCCATCTTACTGTCCCAGTACAAGGCACTTGACTTCTTTCAAAGGATTGTGTTACTGTCTTTAATATCCTTGTCTGCCTTGGCCTCAACTTTAAACACACTTTTCTAGAAAAAGCTGTGAGTTCATTAAAACTTTCTGCTCTGCTTTTTGCTTCTGATACTCATTGCATATTTGCTAAAAGTGGCCAGTAAAACCCATGCGACAGCCTGTATGCTTCCTTCCTTTAAAAATGTCCTCAGGTTAATCAATTAGTGCATCACCTTCGGCAGGTCTCAGGGCATGGACAGATGGATACAAGCTCTTTCCCAGAATTCAGCATTCGTGCCTCTGCTCCAGTTCTCAGTAGCGTCTTCTATTCTGAAACCTCAGGGCAGTCTTTACTATCTCTACTCCTGTTAGCAGTGTGATCTTCTGTGCTCACACCCCAGCCACTCTGTAAGCTCTGCCATTAGGACTCTAAGCTTTTGCTTGCTTACTTCTCTAGACTTTTCCAGTTTCTTCTGGAAACCAGTTCCAAAGGCTTCTGGTAGTCAGGCATGTTCATAACAACTCAGTTCCCGGGACTGGTTTTCTGTGTTAGTCGCCTGCCTTCCTTCCTTCCTTCCTTCCTTCCTTCCTTCCTTCCTTCCTTCCTTCCTTCCTTCCTTCCTTCCTTCCTTCCTTCCTTCTCCCCTCCCTCCCTCCCTCCCTCTCTCCTTCCCTCCCTCCCTCTCTTCCCTTTCCTTCCCTTCTCCTCCTTCCCTTGCTTCCTCCCCTCCCCCCTCCCTTCTTTCTTTCTTTTCTGTGACAAATACCTGAGACAAATGATTTAATAGCAAGGACTCATTTGGGGTCACTGCTTCAGTTTATGGTCAGGGGGCTCCACCTTTTGGACTTGCTGTGAAGCAGACTGTCATGGTGGCTGGAGCATAGCAGAGGAGGCTGTTTTTCTGGCAGTCATGAAGTAAACAGATTGAGAAAGTTCCAGGGACAAGATCCGCCTTTACAAATAATTGCATCAGGTATTTACCTGTCCATCTTCCAATAAGCCATTGAACTCATCAGTGGATTAGTACATTGATGACGTCAGCCCCATCATAATCCAGACATATCCCACTACCACAGAAGCTGGGTACTAAGTCTGCAACATACGTAGCTTTCAGGGGCATACTAGGCATTCCAACCATGCTGCTTCTTTTTGGGGTCTCATGCATATTCTATCATATTTTATTCTTTTGTTGGTTTTGTTTTTCCAGACAGGGTTTCTTTGTAGCTTTGGAGCCTGTCCTGGAACTCATTCTTGTAGACCAGGCTGGGCTGGAACTCACAGAGATTCTCCTGCCTCTGCCTCCCGAGTGCTGGGATTAAAGGTGTGCACCACCACTGCCTGGCCATATGCTAGTCTTAAAACTTGAAATGTTTTATTTCATCCCTTGAATATTAATCAGTTGGGAATTGGTTTTTTTATGCAGAATGAAGAAAAGATACATGAAAAATTATTTGTCCTGGTAGCCCTTATTGGATAGTTTATAGTGTTCTGACTGAATATATATATATATGTGTGTGTGTGTGTGTGTGTGTGTGTGTTCTTTTCTGTTGCAATGATAAAATAGCATGACCAAGGCAACTTACTGAAAGAAAGGCTTATGATTCCAGGTTCCAGAACAATAGGAGTCTGTCATGGTGGGACTCTTGGCAGCAGGTAGACCCTACCAGAGTTCCAGGAAGGCCGAACCTCTCCCATACTCTCTCCAACCAGCGCCACTAACTAGGGACCCATGGTTCAAATAATGTCTGAGCATCTATCTCAAGTATGTATCACATGTGTACCTCTGGAATCTTTTATGTCCCCCTTGTCTGTTTATCCAACACCACACTGTTTTCATTTGTCATATTGTCTGGCTCTGATGTCTGAAAGAGAAAATTCCCCTGGTTTTTCCTTCTTAAAATAGATGTTGGCAAATTAACCACCTCTAATTTATATTCAATTTTAGGGATGATTTGAAAAATTTTTAACATTGTTTTCAGATTTTTACTAGAAAGATATAGAACTTACAAATTTAATGTGAATAATCCTTGGTCATACTGAATGCTCTCTAAGAACAAGACACATTTTTGGAATTAATTTGTCTTTAAAAAGTTATTTCACTAACTGCTTAAGATTTTAATTAAGGTATTCTACATACTTGTTATTTTTTCTAGTTACCTCTCGGTTGTCTTCTATTGTAAATGTCTATTTTAAAATATCGTCTACATATGCTTTGTTGGCATATACAAACTCTAGCCACATTACTATAATGATCTCGTTCTAGGAGTCTCTCTTGTCAGGTTTATATCAAACATACAGGTTCATTTTGTTCTTCTGTTTGGATAGTCATGAACTGTACTAATACTTCCATTCTTCCTTTCTAGGGTCATTACTACTTCTCATTTGCTGCTATCCAATAGGATGCTAAATAAGAGTGAAAACAGTACACACACGTGTTCTAAAATTTCTTTCTCTGGATTATACCACCTTTGGAATTAGTTACAATCCAGTAATTAGGTTCCCAACCCCCTGCTGAGTCAGACCTTCCAGTCATGTTCAAAACCCATACCAACCTCATTCAGACAATTCCACTAATGAAGGTGTCTAACCCACAGGACTTTTATTTTGATAATCCACTGTTCAGTCTAGGGCAGTACGGTGTTATTCTTTCTCTCTCTATGTATGTGTAGCCTTTACAGATGACACTACCTACCCAGAACCAACAGGCAGACACCTATACTTCTTTCTTGGTATGCATATTGATTGATCTTATCAGTTCTGCCTTCTATTATCTGCCAAAGTATTCTCTCACCTTCGTTTTAAAGAGAAATGGCTGGCTTAGGGCCTCGGTGTTTCCATCAGTATCTCCCATCTTAACTACAACACCAGTTTCCTGATTGGTCTCCTTATTTTAGGTGGCAGCTCTCACCTACCCACCGTTCTTCTCATTACTGCCAAGTTTCTCTTCCTAAAATACACCCCTGACCATGCCTCGCCCAACTTAAAACACTATGCTCATTGTCTATGATATAAAGCCAGGATTCTTTAGCCGCCCAAACAAGGCCTTTTATGCAATGTGATTGGTTTTCTAACATGGTAGCCTAGCAAAACTGGAGTGCTCAAAGTTCAGCGCTGCTGTTTCCTCATGCCAAGAATTCTGTACATTCTGGTATCTCTGGTTGTGTGACTCTGGCAGTGGTTTATCCATTCAATCCCAGCTCGGATGTCACTTCATTCAGGACCTACCAAGAGAACTAAGCAAATATTTGCTAAGTACTCTCTTTCTGGCAGGTACTGTGCTACATCTAGCTTAGCTCTATAAAATGCAGAAGGCACGGTCTGTCTTCTAGTATTTGATTGACTACTTTTTATTTCCTTCTTTTAGCTCCAAGCATCTGGAATGTGATTTTACTCACCTGATTCTATTTTAAAATGTGGATTGGGTAATTTTCATTCTTGATAAATAAACTAAAAAAATAATTGCTGTGTTGTTTTCCATATGGAGATACATGCACAGTGTTCAGGAAACACACGGTATTAAGAATGATGTATGGACAAAGTTTCAAAGAAAGATGATTATGAACGATGAGATCACGACTCAGAACTTGGTAGTTAGACCATGGCTCAGTCAACCCCCTCCCACTCATTATGTATCTACTAAAATCCTATAGAACAAACATGGAGAAGTGGTTGCTTATATGAAAACTAAAACGATCTGCCTAACAAGGTGGGGGCAGAGGGGTTTGGGAGGTAAGTGAGAACGGATGAGAGCTCATGTCCTTTAGAATAGGGTTGCAAATTCGCTGAGGACAATGCCAAACCCCCAAACCACACAAATCCCTCTGTGCCACAGACATCTGACATGACCAGTGATCTTAGGGATATATGGAGGATCTCCAGAGAGGATGGAGCCTTCGCCTTACACAACTGCCTCCTCCTGCTGCCATGATGCTCTCCACCCGGAAAGATCTCAGAGCTCCTACACATGCTTCACCATCTGCCTTTGGCCACATACTTCCTGAATCTACTTCCTATTTTCTGGAAGAGAAGAGGCTACGAGAAAAAAAAACATTTAAAGTAAAGAGGCCCACCGAGGGGACCAGAGGGCTAAAGCAGTAGTGTGTGTGTGTGTGTGTGTGTGTGTGTGTGTGTGTGTGTGTGTGTTGTTCTGACCTAAAATTAGATCCAGGGCAAGCATGCTTCTTTGGGTGAGAATGAGATGAAGGATCCTAGTAGCATCAATGAAAAGAATGCCCTTGAAAATGAAGCAGGACAGGAACGGCGCTTATGAGAAGTGACTACATCCAGTTCAGTGACAGGGTGGGAGCTGCCTGAACTTTAATGGTATTTCATAATCTATCCTAGAAGGGAGGAAAACAAAACCAACAAAAATCCCTGGCAAGAGAAGGTGTGTAAAATGCCTTGCTATCTATTTACATTGCCCGTATCATATGTGACTCTCCGCGTTAACATCTTGGTTGGTTCCAGAAGGCCAGTGTGCCCTCCTCTCCTTTGCCTTAGTAGAGCCACATTCCCACGCCCCCTCTCGCTTCTACTTGTCATCACAGGGTCAAAGGTCTAAACCGTGGTCTTGGGCTGGCTGAGATCTGTGCATAGTTGCTGAGCTACGAGGAAATGTGGGTGGGAAACCTATGAAGAAACACACCAATATTAACTACATCTATATCACACGCGAGGGATTTTTCTTTTTCCATTATACTTTTTCTGCTTTCCTATGAGCACCAATTAATTTTACAAGTGTGGAAAAATAAATTTATGGCCTCTGGTTTATGCTCTATGTTTTAGAATTGTTAGTTTGAAAAACAAAACAAAACACAAACCTGAGCAGACATTATGTGTAAACATTAGAAATCTCTCTCTCTCTCTCTCTCTCTCTCTCTCTCTCTCTCTCTCTCTCTGTGTGTGTGTGTGTGTGTGTGTGTGTGTGTGTGTGTGTTGGGGGGGGTACACCAGGGGAAATACTCAGTAAGAAGTTATATCCACATAGTTCTAGAACTAGAGAGGAAGACTTGCAAGGGGTGAGAGTGACTTCGAACTTTGGGAAGCAGGTGACAAGTTTCTCTGCGCAGGCGGGCCAAGTGGCTAGAGGCTCCGTTTCCTGCCGAGGTGGATCACCTGGCCGGCAGCCTGCGACAGGTAGGCGGAGGCTTGCGGTCCCCAAGCCTGGGCGGAGCGGGAAATCGCGACCGCCCAGGGCTGGGGCGGAGCCCCGAGAGCCTCAGGTGCTGGTGGGCTGGGCGGTACCTGTGGGGACCCTAGGGTCCCGCTGCCCTGCAAGACCCGCGGGCTCTTTGGAGATGCGCGTCCCGGGCCGGTGGCTGAAGAAGAAAGACGCGGCTCCCCGAGACCCTTGAGCCTCAGCGACTAGAGAGGTACCAGCATGGGCCGCGGGCTGCACGCACCTTGCCTGCTCCTCTTCACCTGGCTCCCAGCAGGTGAGCCCTGGAAAAAAAAATGGGTCCTTTTCTGGGCCGCGCGAGGCAGGAAGCCATTATTGCCTGGCTAGCACAGCTGGTCACCCACAGGGCGGTGGAGTCCTGGGGCCCCAGCTCCGGTAGCGCTTGGCATGGGCACCAAGAGGTACAGGACCCGGATCGAGTATCTGCCCGGGGGAACCTGTTGTTTTCCTCCTTTAGTAACCCACGGCCGACCAAGACAGATGCAACAGAAAAGAAACCTCCGTCTTTGGATTTCTCCTCCTACAGGTGTTAGACGCTTGGGGCTAAAACGGAATCGATTGAAGCAAAATCCTCATTCTTGAACTTCCTAACACCACATTCCCCCCACCCCTCCGTCCCCATTCCCAACCTCACACTGAACCCTGACCGCCGCCGGCTCAGTGCCCTACTTACTTTAAGAGT